ACTAAATTTCTTCTCACCGGGAAGACGTTCTATTCACTAGATCATGGATGCGATCTCAGGTTTAGAGAGGGTATGTGACTGAAATATGTAAGTGATAGTGCTATCCCTCTGCAGTTGAACACCGTACCGTTGCATCGAGACGACGTTGATGGTTGTGTGGCCATCGCCGTCAGTTGGTTGGTTGGTTTGTTGTTTAACGCCGCACTCAGCAATATTCCAGCTATATGACAGCGGTCTGTAAATAATCGAGTCTGGACCAGACAATCCAGCGATTGATATCATGAACATCGATCCACGCAATTGGGATCGATGACATGCATCAACCAAGTCAGCGAGCCTGACCACCCGATCCCGTTAGTCGCCTTTTACGACAAGCATAGTCACCTTTTACGGCAAGCATGGGTTGCTGAAGACCTATTCTACCCCGGAATCTCCACGGGTCTAACCAGTGATGGTCGTAGCAGGCAACCTGTGATTGTCGTAGGAGGCAACCAGTGATGGTCGTAGGAGGCAACCAGTGATGGTCGTACGAGGCAACTGGTGATGGTCGTACGAGGCAACTGGTGATGGTCGTAGGAGGCAACCAGTGATGGTCGTAGGAGGCAACCAGTGATGGTCGTAAGAGGCAACCAGTGATGGTCGTAAGAGGCAACCAGTGATGGTCGTAGGAGGCAACCAGTGATGGTCGTAAGAGGCAACCAGTGATGGTCGTAAGAGGCAACCAGTGATGGTCGTAAGAGGCAACTAGTGATGGTCGTAAAAGGCAACCAGTGATGGTCGTAGGAGGCAACCAGTGATGGTCGTAAGAGGCAACCAGTGATGGTCGTAGGAGGCAACCTGTGATGGTCGTAAGAGGCAACCAGTGATGGTCGTAAGAGGCAACCAGTGATGGTCGTAGGAGGCAACCTGTGACGGTCGTAGGAGGCAACTAGTGAAAGGTCGTAGCAGGGAATCTGTGATGGTCGTTAGAGGCAACCAGTGATGGTCGTAAAAGGCAACCTGTGACGGTCGTATGAGGCAACCAGTGATGGTCGTAAAAGGCAACCTGTGACGGTCGTATGAGGCAACCAGTGAAAGGTCGTAGCAGGGAATCTGTGATGGTCGTAGCAGGCAACCAGTGATGGTCGTATGAGGCGATGTATTGGATCGGCTTGTCGGACAGCTCGGTAGCTTAGTTGAGTTGAATGTCATCGTGCCCCGACAGCGTGGATAGTTTCCTATAATATCAATCACTGGCTTCTCTGATCACTAAATTGTCTACCCAGCGTCACAGAGCTGGACAATTGCGGCGTTAAATAACTACCAACAGACGGACAAAGCTACATGGGTGTGACATTGCAGGTTCGACGTGATAACTGAATTTATTCGCTCTTTTTTGTAGGTTCTATACCCTGGTTGATCGTGGCCGAACTGTTCTCCCAAGGGGCGAGATCGTCCGCCATCAGTGTCTCTGTCCTCGTCAACTGGGTGGCGAACTTCTGCGTTGGTTACGGCTTCCCTCACATGCAGGTATGTTGGTCACACACGCGTGTCTCTTGAAAGCAAATCTTGCCAGCAAATATGCATTTGTTCAGCCTTTGCCGAAATATAATGCCACAGTCAGCAACTTTCCAGGTGTATCAGGGGTAATGCGGACCCAAACACACCAGTCGTGGTGTTAGTAGCACTGTCGTCGTCGAGTTGCCATTCACACTCAATCAACAAAGTCCGCTCAGTCGCATTTTACACCAGTCATATGTTGTTGTGGACCTGTACCACTCCGGACAGGGGCACGCTTGGCCCAGTCGTCTAAGGCGTCGCGATTCGCTGTCCAGCTTTGCGTCCCCTGGGCACGCCAGAAACCTATGATTGTGGGTTCGAATCCCGGTTCGCCCCGATTAAGTTTCCAGGTTTGTCAGCACCATACCCGTGCTCTTGGGTTTCACCGAAGTGGTAAACGTCTGAGACCTGCGTCACTTCGGGTTTTCCTCCCACATTAAGCTGACACGCCATGATATAACTGGAATGATGTTAAAAGCGGCGTTAAACCCAACTCACTCACTCACTCTACTCCGGAACTCTCACAGTGTTGAACTTAAAGTGTGGGCGCCTAGAAATATCTTTCTTACGGAGTTTTGGAGAACTTTTGTTGGTTTTGTTTAATCGAATGACCGATGTATGTAATTGTTGAAGGATCACTGTAATGGTTGTAAGTATGCAACTCCTGACATCTTGCGGGGTTTTACATAGCATTTGATACATGGAAGTCAGGATGACCAGATCCGTGAAGATTCAGGGGTAGAATAGGTCTTCAGCAACGCATGCTTGCCTTAAAAGGCGACTATGCTTGTCGAAAGAGGCGACTAACGGGATCGGGTAGACAGGCTCGCTGACTTGGTTGTTTGTTTGTGTGTTGTTTAACGCCGCATTCAGCACTATTCCAGCTGTATGTCGGCGGTCTGTAAATAATCGTGTCTGGACCAGACAATTCAGTGATTGAAATCACGAGCATCGATCCACGCAATGGGGATTGATGACGTGCATGAACCAAGTCAGCGAGCCTAACTACCCGATCCCGTTAGTAGCCTTTTACGGCAAGCATGGGTTGCTGAAGACCTATTCTACCCCGGAATCTTCACGGGGCGGCTGAAAATTGTAACACTATAGGTCCCACTTGAATATTGTATTACTGAAACATCACTTACTCACTAAAATATTCCTTCTTACTGCACAGGTTTGAATTGCTAACATGACAGATGAAACACCCTGAATTGGTATTTACCAGGTGAGCTACAGGTTCGTCGCAAATTTACACATAATAATCTGTCTCCCGTTTTCTTCTCCAGAAAGGACTGATGAGTTTTTCGTTCTTGCCCTTCACTGTTCTGCTCGTGCTGTTCTGGATATTCCTAGTTATGTTCCTGCCAGAAACGAAAGGCAGAACAATCGAGGAAATCTCATCAGAATGGAAACAAGACAGAATCACAGGACAAAGTTTCAGATCGGAGAGCTATTCGGTTTCTTTTAAGAAAAACACAAATGCCATTTAGTCAAAATAAATTACTCTTAAAAATATATAAACAGATTGTAGACTATTCTCTACGGATGTATGAATGTTCTTTTAGCAGCTTTGTCAGCATGCTATTCCTCAAAGCACTCCGATGTCCTCTCTTTTTCTGCAGGACAGACATTTCAACCATTGGACTGTCTGAAGTTAACTCTGCACTTGTAGCGTTGACCATGTGCATACTGACAATGATAGCATTAATTGCAACAGTAAAAATAGCTATATGATACGGCCAGTGCCCTTTGAAAGGTGGTCCAAATAATGTCACCGTGATTTCGTCAATGATGGTTGGTTGGTTGTTTAACGTCGCACTCAGCAATATTCCAAATATGACGGCGGTCTGTATTAATCGAGTCTGGTCCAGACAATCCAGTGACTGACATCATGAACATCGATCTACGCAATTGGAATCGATGACATGTACCAACCAAGTCAGCCAGTCTGACCACCCGATCCGTTAGTCGCCTCTTACGACAAGCATAGCCGCCGTTTACGGCAAGCATGGGTTGCTGAAGACCTATTCTACCCTGGATCTTCACGTGTGCATACTGACAATGATAGCATTGCAACAGTAAAAATAGCTATATAGTACGACCAGTGCCCTTTAAAGGGTGGTCCAGATAATGTCACTGTGATGTCGTCAATGATGGTTGGTTGGTTGGTTGGTTTGTTGTTTAACGCCGCACTCAGGAATATTCCATCTATACGACGGCGGTCCGTAAATAATCGAGTCTGGACGAGAAAATTCAGTGATTGACATCATGAGCATCGATCAACGCAATTGGGATCGATGACACGCATCAACCAAGTCAGCGAGCCTGACCACCCGATCCCGTTAGTCGCCTTTTTCGACAAACATAGTCGCCTTTTACGGCAAGCACGGGTTGCTGAAGACCTATTCTACCTCGGATTTTTACGGGTCGTGAATATGTAATTAGGCTTGTTAATTTGTTGTTCCGTATTACCGATCCTCACTGCTGAAATAATGTTAATGCGACGTTACATTTTAACTCACTCACTGGTAAGCAGGGCAGACCATAGGGAATTGTCCCCTCTGGGATTCCGCATGAAAAGGGTGAAGTTTATACTTTGTAAATGTCACTTTTAAAAGTTTGTTGAAAAATGAACGGATCATGCGAGCAGCATTTAAACCAATCACATCACAGGAAATCCCTAAACTTCAAAATAGAAATTTATAGATGAATTAATTGAGCTATTGATAGATTTTGAATTCTGACTTGGATCGTTTTGTTTTTGATCCGTCATAAGCTCAATGATTTAATTTTTACTGTCGACAGGGTATGTCCCAATCTGTATATAGCTGCGATATTGCTATGGGCGGTCGGGTAGCCTAGTGGTTAAAGCGTTCGCTCGTCACGCCAAAGACCCGGGTTCGATCCCCGACATCGGTACAAAGTGGGAAGCCCGTTTCTGGTGTCCCCCGCCGTGATATTGCTCAAATATTGCTAAAACCATACTCACTCACTGCAATGTTGCTGATGCTATGGAAAAGTTTAAATCACTCAGTCTCATGACAACGTGATGTGTATATTCTATCAAGACGATTTCAAAAATACGCTCTTGCAAAAAAAAAAAAAATAATGATAATAACAAAAGATGTACTGTCCAGATGCACATGGCTCAGGAAGTAAAACTTTGTTGTGAAATAAAAATAAGAAGCATCAAGGCATGATAAAACATTTAGGTTCAGTGGACAGGTGATGTTGGAAGAAGTTCAGAAGAGTTTTAAATTCAACAAAGTAAAAGTAACATTTTTTATCTGGCAATTGATAAAACTGTTTTGGTGCTGCAGATTATTTTTGTTTGTTCGTTTGTTTATTTGTTGTTTAACGCCGCACACAGCAATATTCCAGCTATATGACGTCGGTCTGTAAAATAATCGAATCTGGACAAGACAATCCAGTTATTGATATCATGAACATCGATCCACGCAATTGGGATCGATGACATGCATCAACCAAGTCAGCGACTTTAACGGCAAGTATGGGTTGCTGAAGACCTATTCTACCATATTAGTTAAAATTTGTTGAAATATAACCAGATCATTGTTGCATTGTAGGATTTTATCCACTTTTTGTACCAGCAAGATGTGTGTATGCTTCTTTGTATTGTTTTCGTAGCAACTTTCCAAAGAAGAACAGACAGAGGAATAACAGTATTTGTATGAAAGCTATCATCGCCATGGAATAATGCAGCATTTGAGGTTGGAAATCTGACATCAACTGCCCTATAGTGAGGGATATCAATGACGTTCCTGCCAAGTCAAAAAATATGAAAATGGCATACAATGTATCATTCACTGTAACATTTTCTACACACCATGCCAATAGAGCAGAAAATAACGGAGCATAGCACAGTCCGAGAAAATGGGAACCCGCCCATAAAAACTCCGAACTCATTTCTGCAGTACATACCAGAAAAACAGATGCAGCTAGAACCCCTACCAAACACGATGTGACCAAACACAGCTGCCGCACTACTAAGCTCACAAACAAGCCCCCAACACGCCCTAACAATGTGACTGCATAAAAAGATGATGTCATCAGTGCCATTGTTGTCTCTGGTAAGCTGAGACTGCTTCGGGTTCCAAAGAGCAAGAGTAAGGTCCCGTATACGAAATTTGTGGCGCCTCCCATGAATATTAAAGATATTTGGAAGCTGACAAAAATAATTTCCATCTTTCCAAAGGAATAATTGTTTTTCTGGTCTGAATCCTGCTTGGGACTGTTTTGTAGACAATAACGTAAAACAGCCAAGACAATAACTAGTAGTGTTCCAGTTGATGCAATGATCAGATATGCATAAGCTATTCTTGAGTCTGACCCTCCACATTCGATTGACGTCACGAATAAGTCTGACATGTTAGACGCGTTGCTTTGGTTGATTGTGTTGTTGAGAAAAGGGGAGATAATCAATGGTCCTAGGATGTTGCCAGCGCACATTGCTATCCCCATCAAGTGGAGGGGAATAGCACTCTCCTGGCTTAATGCACCAATCTTTGCAACTCTAGCTGCAATGATAAAACATAAGTGTCATTAAAACAATTTGTCAACTAATATATTTTGTTTTGTTTAAATTGCTTTTGTCGGTATTCATCGATGTCAGCAATATTCCGGTTATATCACTAGGCAGACAAACCAGTGTATAATCAACGTTCCAGAGGTTAGGGTACAATGTCACACAACCAATGTTGAAACTTGACCACCTGATCATATATAGTGCTTGAGGCTAATTCTAACATTCTAACAGTGGAGTAAGATTGTTCAAACGGTCTTAACCCTCATTTTGAAGAAGATCTGGACCCTAATTACGAATTAGAAAATGAGGTGAAGTGAGATTGAGCTTAGCCTCGCGTCCAAGATTATTGCACTTATGTAGCGACGTTCATGCACGAGTGCGTGTGTGTGTGTGTGTGTGTGTGTGTGTGTGTGTGTGTGTGTGGCTGCTTGTACTAGCTAGTCCGGACAGATGCCGATATATAGTGCTGGCCCACTGAGATACCATGTCGCAGTTGAACATGAATACCCCACTCACACAGTATACTGACTCCGAGCCGACCAGTCCTTGTTTAAAGCCCTTAATCGAACCTCGAACCTGGTACCGTCTATCGTTTCAATCTTCGGACATTTCCCATAGTAGACGAAAGAGAGTTTAGTGCGTGATATACTTTCATTTATAATTAATAAAGTCTGAGAGAGGTAGGGCTACATGATTAATCGACATCTGTTTCGTGTTTCCGACAATTACTTTCCACCTGACATCCAACATGTATATATAATGCGATAATATTTAATGTTATGGTTAACTGAGTAGGCACAGCAAATGGTTTTACTATTCAAACGTTTAAACCATGACACAACTACTAATGCGTATTTTAGTTTTGCAAATCAATAAAGTCTCTTTTTTCGGCACAAATTTACATTTTAAACTTAACACAAACTCACTAGCCACAGATTATTTTTTACAAACTGTTGCAGGAACGTATCCTGTCTGTCTCACTGGTCGCAACTGTCGCAAATACACGGAAACACATAGATACACATGAATATTCACCAGTCGAAATATGAATATGTTATATTGTAATATTACCATTACTGCCTGCAAACTTAAGTGATTAAATTAAACGTACAAATGAAATGCTGACAGCATGTGGAACATAAACGCCTATTCTGCTTACATAAAGTACATTATGCAAACACACACACACAAGGTGTGGGGAGGGGGGATTATGTATCACTGTTTGATGCGTGTATGTGGTTGTTTCATCAATGATACTATACACATACACCCCCTTCCTCACCAACACCCAACCCCCCCCCCAACCGGTTTGAGAATTCCGCGTTAGAGGTGAGATGAAATTGGGTTTTACGTCGCGTCCAAGATTATTGCACTTATATAGGAATGTGCATGCACGTGTGTGTGTGTGTGTGTGTGTGTGTGTGTGTGTGTGCGTGCGTGTGTGTGGCTGCTTGTACTAGTCAGGACTGATGCCGATTTATAGTAGTAGCTCACTTAGATACCATGCCGCAGTTTAACATGTATATCCCACTCAGACACAGTATACTGACTCCGAGCCGACCAGTCCTTGTTTTAGCCCCTAAATGCCGAGCGCCTGACAGGGTAACAACAAGTACCATCTTTGAACGTCTTTTGGTATGACGCGGTCGGGGATCGAACCCCGAACCTTCCGCTCTCCGGGCGGACGCTCTACCACTAGACCACGGAGGCGGTAATTAGATAATGACTAAATGCAGGTATATATTGTCCAAGACATTACACAGTTACAATACTGTCTTCCACAACTACTCACCACTGTTTACAACTCCACTGGTCAGTCCTAAGCCAGAACTTGCAGCTGCAGCCGCCCAGAATGAGGAACAGAGGGGTATTACCAACACGAGGCAACTGCTGACAAGGACACACAACACCATCAGTGTATACACATTGAACACTGCATGTACCGGCACGTACAGCACGCTGCCTGCTGTCTTGAAGCCAGCGTACACAGGAAACAGGGTGCTGATGGTCTGAACACTCACGGAGTACAGGCACTGAAGGTCCTGTAGACTTGGTCCAAAGCTGCTGTCAATGAGTCCCTGGAAGAAAGACATTCTTGCCGTAAAAGGCGACTATGCATGTAGGGGAATGGTCTAATTGGTTGGTTGGTTGGTTGTTTAACGCCGCATTAGACCATTCAACCCGTGAAGATTCCGGGGTAGAATAGGTCTTCAGCAACCCATTCTTGCCGTAAAAGGTGACTTTGCTTGTCGTAATAGGCGACTAAAGGGATCGGGTGGTCAGGCTCACTGACTTGGTTGATACATGTCATCGATCCCAATTGCGTGGCTCGATGTTCATGATATCAATCACAGGATTGTCTAGTCCAGACTCGATTACCTACAGACCGCCGTCATATAGCTGGGATATTGCTGAGTGTGGCGTTAAACAACAAACAAACAACATTGATGGTCCAGAAGTAATCCCAGCGTCCCACTTCACACATGTCACCCAAAACAGCTGACACAGCTGAAGCCTTAAGTTGATATATACTCAAGGCTTCAGCTGTGTCAGCTGTTGTTGGGTGACATGTTGATATATACTCAAGTGAGTCATGAATGCAAAATTGTATTTAAAAACGAATTTGTCATATTTGGGCATAACAATGTTATTTACACAGTTTAAAACATGAGCTATAGGCCACCAGTGACCAAAGCTAGGCCAACTGGCTGGGGATCATGGAGTGAGTGAGTGAGTTTGGTTTTACGCCGCTTTTAGCCATATTCCAACAATATCACGGCCGGGGACACCAGAAGTAGGATTCACACATTGTACCCATGTCGGGAATCGAACCCGGGTCTTCGGCGTGACGAGCGAATGCTTTAACCACCAGGCTACCCGACCGCCCCTGGGGATCATGGAGACTTACGGTACTTCAGCTTCCTGAATGATACCTCAGCAGGATTTACATCATCACCTCAGCCAATGGGGGTTGTGCACAATACTAGTCAATATTAAAAAATACTCAGCAACGAGTTGGCTTAAATCACTGGTTGATGACAGTTACATCGATTATGATAGGAACTGCACGTCATACACACATAATTTAACGGTATTTTAACTTCCTGGACAGAGGCTTCGATAATCTTTGTTGATAAAAGCATTCTACCAAATTTAGAAACATGAAGTTCACATGTATTATGCAGACCAACTGTAACTGAGAATTTGTCGACTAAGAAAGATCATGTTCTGTCCAAAGATGAACAGATGGTCCCCCTAAGCTAATACAAAACATCAACGCCGAAGAACAACTAGTCTCCGAAACAGTGGCACAAGAGGCTAAAGGGGAGAAACTTGAATGACAGCATCCCTGTAAATCTGTGATACATCAAGTTTTTGTGAAAAGGGTAATCATGTTCTCCGCGACCGCCACTCACTCAATTTGTGTTTCAGAAGGTGAGATGTCATGCTATGGGGACTGCGAGCCATCATTCCTCCTGGAATATTGCTGAGTGCGGCGTTAAACAACAAATAAACAAACACACATATCCAGTTCCAATTTATGATGGCATCTAGAACAGTTGGTTTGGTTTCTTAGTTTGTTCTTCAACGCCGCACTCAGCAATATTCCAGCCATATGACGGCGGTCTGTAAAAAATCGAGTCTGGACCAGACCATGAGCATCGATCCACGCAATTGGGATCGATGACATGCATCAACCAAGTCAGCGAGCCTGACCACCCGATCCCGTTAGTCGCCTCTTACGACAAGCATAGTCACCTTTTACGGCAAGCATGGGTTGCTGAAGACCTATTGTATCTAGAACGGGTTTTAAGACATGCTTACCCCTTACGCGAACACCTGGTGCGATCGCCGATTTTCCGCTATTTTACCTTTTACCACCAAAGGAATCGTTTTGGGCTCTCTCGACTGGTTACTCTATGACTTTGACGTTTTCTTTATAGTATATCCATATCCGATGGAACCATGATCAAAGGGTGCGGCGTAGGACAACAAACAAACATGATCAAAGGCGACTGCATTGCTTACTAACATCAAGACCGGACAAGGCAAGCAACAAAGCAAGCTCAAGGTATGGACAGATCGCCGTGTTAAGTTCATGGGCCATCTTAGCGGGGATGAGATATGTGGATGAACAACTTCTTTATAACAATTAGGAGCGACATACTCGTGCGCATTTCTCAAGGAATGCTGCTTTCATGCATTTCTCAAGGAATCACAGACCCGTGAGGATCCGGGGTAGAATAGGTCTTCAGCAACCCATGCTTGCCATAAAAGGCGACTATGCTTGTCGTAAAAGGCGACTAACGTTAAACAACAAGCAAACAAGATCAAAGCATGCGGCGTTAAACAACAAAGAAACAAGATCAAAGGCGACTGCACTGCTTACTTACATCAAGGCCGGACACGGCAAGCAACAAAGCAAGCTCCAGGTAGGGACATTGTGCAGTGTTAAGCTCCTGGTTGTCTGATGGGTTGCCCATGGTAGATGCACAGTGCTGTGATAGTAACAGGCTGTTATTGATTACCAGGCGGCACAACTACCGAGGATTTGCAATGCATTTATACCAGGGGGCGGTGACATGAGGTGTCATTTTCTGACCAGATGCAGGAGGGGTGACATATGGTGACTACTGTTTGTGTTTTAGGGAGAGTCGAAACTTCTCGAACCATATTATGTGTATTCAGGTATAACCCACAGATATTATATATAGTTCACTTGAAATAATGGATGACTAAAACCTAATGTGTTGTGGGGCCCGAAACGTGTTTTACTCCTAGAATAAATTTTGTTTTTAAAGAACTGACTGAAAAACGTATTCTGTCCAAAAACAAAAGTTCCAATCCAGGGCCCCGTTCAAGAAAACATTTATGTGATCCTCGTTATTTAGTTTAGTCGTTTGTTGTTTAACGCCGCACTCAGCAATATTCCAGCTATATGACGGCGGTCTGTAAATAATTGAGTCTGGACCAGACAATCCAGTGATTGATATCATGATCATCGATCCACGAAATTGGGATCGATGACATGCTTCAAACCAAATCAGCGAGCCTGACCACCCGATCCCGTTAGTCGCCTCTTACGACAAGCATAGTCGCCTTTTACGGCAAGAATGGGTTACTGAAGACCTATTCTACCCCGGATCTTCACGGGTCAGTTATGCATTTGTTCTGTCAGTAAACACTAAGCGAAAGAAATGTCCGTCGATAAAATCATTTAACTTAGCGAGTGAGTCAATATTAGTGAGTTCGCAATAATCCAGAAATATCATAGCGAGGGACATCAGAAAGGGGCTTCAAACATTGTACATGTGTGGGAATCGAGCGAACACTGTAACCACTAGGCTCCCCCGCGGCCCCTTCTTTACATAGACATTTTCACCTGAAACAACACTGTCAGATATATTTAAAGAGATGAGATCAAATTTCCGCAGACTAAAATTGACTAGTTTGTTGGTCGTGACCAGTTTCTACAGCACGGTGCCCGTGAAGAATCCGGGATAGAATAGGTCTTCAGCAACCCATGCTTGCCGTAAGAGGCGACTATGCTTGTCGTAAGAGGCGACTAACGGGATCGGGTGGTCAGGCTCGCTGACTTGGTTGATGCATGTCATCGATCCCAATTGCGTGGATCGTTGCTCATGATAAAACAAACAAACAAATTCTACAGCACGAATACAAAGCCCTGGTACATGTACGTTCATGCATCTGTCATAACAAACTTAAGAAAAAAAAAACATTGTGTTCAACAGATTTTGTTTGCTTGCATATTTTTTCTCAAACACTTCAAGCTGTGGCCTTTTATGTACACACAGAATGCGTGCACATCACCATTAAAAAAGAAAGGTATAAGTGATGATAATTAAATGTACAATCCAGGACGATTTTAACAAGAAATATTACCTACATATCAAAGACAGATGATGTATTGCATTGCCTTGGTCGCACGGCAGATGGCGCATACTAAAATACTTAACGTCAACGCAAGATTATCACCAAGCTCGATTATCCACCGAAACACACGATCGCAATTTACTCGCTGCAGTGGGTGAGTAAGGTTTTACGCCACGGCGGGGGACACCAGAAATGTGTTGCACACATTGCGGCTCTCAGACGTTTACCACGTGCCAAGGGATGACACTCTGCACAGAAAATCGCGGCGCTTTAGACGACTGGGTCACCTGAGCGGGGATGAGATATGTGGATGAACAACTTCTTTATAACAATTAGGAGCGACTTATCCTGTGCATTTCTCAAGGAATGCTGCTGTTATGTTCATGTTCAGTAATAAAACTGTCAACAATTCATCAGACGTCAGAGTCCATGGTCAGCAGACATTGCCAATGTCCACTCCCCATGGCACAAGTCTCATCTCACTGAAGGTGAACAAAGAACTGAACTCTTGCTTCATAATACCGATTAGCCTTGCACAAGCCTATCCTGAGTAATATATCCCAGGTGAAAGATTTCTACACGGTAACATTTAGATTCATGCAAAAGATAGTAGCATATCACACTTGGAATTGAAAGCATTCAAAATCAGTTTCGTATAGTCGATGGTTCAGAATGATATTTAGAAAAAAATATTTGTTGATTTCTGTTAATATTCAAAACCTCTATTTCAGTTCAGTTGCTTCACGACTACATATACCGACATAAATTATACCTATAACGTAGCTCTATTGTTCCGACGGTCTATTATTTCCGACGAACAATTGTAGTCAAACACGTGGCTGAAACCTTACATGAACATGATCCCACGCACAGTCTATATTATACCATTATGTTGCTCTGTATAACGTGTATTACGACATGAAATGATACTACGCCATGAAATCATATTACGCGATGAAATGACACCACGCCATGAAATGACACTACCCCATGAAATCATATTACGCTATGAAATGACACTACGCCATGAAATCATATTACGCTATGAAATGACACTACGCCATGAAATCATATTACGCCATGAAATCATATTACGCCATGAAATCATATTATGACATGAAATCATATTATGCCATGAAATGACAATACGCCATGAAATCATATTACGCCATGAAATGACACTATGCCATGAAATCGTATTACGCCATGAAATGACACTACGCAATGAAATCATATTACGCCATGAAATGACACTACGCCATGAAATGATATTACAGCATGAAATGATATTACGCTATGCCGTAAAATGTGACTATGCTTGTCGTAAAAGGCGACAAACGGGATCGGGTGGTCAGGCTCGCTGACTTGGTTGATACATGTCATCGATCCCATATGTGTGGATCGATATTCATGATATCAATCACTGGATTGTCTGGTCCAGACTCGATTATTTACAGACCGCCGTCATATAGCTGGAATATTGCTGAGTGCGGCGTTAAACAACAAACCAACCAACCAACCATGAAATGATATTACGCCGTGAAATGATATTACGCCATGAAATGAAGTAACGACATTTTTTCATTGCCTTTGTCATTCATAATGTATAATGGAGTCGGACACCTCCCCACTATTCCCCATTAAAAATAGAGGGACAGTTGCCAACACCCATCAATATTTTATGAATGAACATTTATATATTGTATGGATTACATACAGTGAGCGTGAGTATGGTTTAACGCCGCTTTTAACAGTTTTCCAGCTATATCACGGCGTGTCAGCTTTAATGTGGGAGGAAAGCCCGAAGTGATGCAGGTCTCAGACGTTTACCGCTACGGTGAAACCCACGAGCACGGGTATGGTGCTGACAAACCAAGAAACATAATCGGGGCGAACCGGGATTCGAACCCACAATCATAGGTTTCGCGGCGTCTTAGACGACTGGGCGACGCGTGCCCCCTGTGTGAATGCTAGAAATACTTGTCTCCTCAGTTCTCAGCATCATAATGCCTTAGACGGGTAGTATATTTAATAGTGTTGTTCGTATAAATGGAAGCATATGCAAAGGTATCTGACGTATCTACTCCACTGCCCTGCGAACGTCGTCTACACCTCCTCCTCATCAACTATCAAATCAAGTCTAAGCCAACGTAAAGTACCCAATACCGCCACACAGCCCAACAGTACTTCAACACCAATAGACTACATAAGCTCCAGACCCGTAAAGATCCGCCTCTGACATATTTCAATAATTATATCTGCACTTACAAACATATTCGTTCATAACGCAACATTAGAGTCATTAGATTCAAAATGATGTTTCTTGGTTTCTCAGCACCATACCCGTGCTCGTGGGTTTCATCGAAGTGGTAAACGTCTGAGACCTGCATCACTTAGGGCTTTCCTCCCACATTAAGCTGACACGCCACGATATAACTGTAATACTGTTAAAAGCGGCATTAAACCCAGCTCACTCATTTACTCATTAGATTCAAGGAACAGGTTCCAAACATAACCAACCCCCTGCATATAAACGTGTGGGGGAATTTACCCACACGTTATTCATGTTTAACGCTTCACGTAATATTCACAACTACAACATTATACTCCCTGTAGCCATCGTTGAATTAAAGCCGGATAGCAATCCAATGCAGAGCTTCGATGAAGCCTGGGTTAACAGCGAACACGAAAACTTCGATGGTCTTTGGTGAAGTGAATCTCCTCGCCATATGTTACTAATTACCTCTTTGCGTCACTGACGTTGATGTTGAAAACTAATGATCCGATGCTGGCAATATGACGTAGTTTTGTATAGAAACATTGAATTAAATGCTATTTTTGTCAATATGGTAAGCTTTCATTTACCGATGACCGAACAGGGGGCACGGGTGTCCCAGTCGTCTAAGGCGCCGCGATTCACTGTGCAGAGTTGCGTCCCTTCGGCACGCCAGAAACCTATGATTGTGGGTTCGAATCCCGGTTCGCCCCTATCATGTTTCTAGGTTTGTCAGCACCATACCCGTGCTCGTGGGTTTCCCCGAAGTGGTAAACGTCTGAGACCTGCATCACTTCGGGCTTCCCTCCCACATTAAGCTGACACGCCGCGATATGGCTGGAATACTGTTAAAAGCGGCGTTAAATCCAACTCATTCACTCACTATGACCGAAAACTTGAGACCGTATGAAGCATAGGATAAATGTAAATCTTGCCATACACGATTTCAAGGGTAATGATATCGGTTTCATCTGTGAACAGCATGTACGATTATTTCACACGTTAAAAATATATGAAACTAATGGCAATGTATACACACCTCTGTCATATATGTTCATGACCCGTAAAGATCCGGGGTAGAATAGGTCTTCAGAAATCCATGCTTGCCGTAAAAGGCGACTATGCTTGTGACTATGCTTGTCGTAAAAGGCGACTAACGGGATCGGGTAGTCAAGACTCGCTGACTTGGTTGATGCATGTCATCGATCCCAATTGCGTGGATCGATGCTCATGATGTGAATCACTGGATTGTCTGGTCCAGACTCGATTATTTACAGACCGCCGTCATGTAGCTGGAATATTGTTGAGTGCGGCGTTAAACAACAAACAAACATGTATGTTCGTAGTCACTTGAATGCTATTTTTTTCATGACCTGCGTAATAAATGGAAACTTGGCGTCGAAATGATACGTTGGGGTCTCATGGAACATGTTTATTGGTTTGCCGGCACCATATCCATGCTCGTGGGTTTCACTAAAATGGTGCATGTCTAAGACAAGCATCACTTCGGTCTGTCTTTCCACATCAAGCAGACACACCATAACATAACTGGAATGCTGTTCAAACAGCGTAAACCTCACTCACTCACTCCAATGATTTGAATTATAAGTCATCTAGATTTCAAACAAATGCGCATAATTTGTCAAATTGTCTTTCCGTCGTTAAAGGTTAACGGGTTCATTTTCAAGATCTCTGCCACGCGATGAAACGTAATGAATAGACCTTCTTATCGATGCCTGTTCTGTAGAAACATCTGTTATTGGTTTCGCATATTTTCGTTTCACTTGTTTGACCTTCCCTTTATTATAAGTTGGCAACTGATCTCGAGGATTACATAGTGTGATGTGTATTGTGTGATGGGTTATGTATCCTGTGTGTGAATCCCGAGGGATCGGTTGACAACGAATCCCTCGACACCGACAATCGTTCATACAGGTCTGGAATACATTTCCGCAGTTTCAACAAGTTAGCAACGACGCAAGCGAACCGAGTTACTTCCCTTTACTCAATACATTCGGGTAGACAACGTTTGGTTCAAGGAACACAACGATACTTACTCGAGATGAGTTACCTAAGATTGATTTCTCAGCGGGCAAACATGAAATTTGGACACCGCCTGTGAGCAGGATGCATGGAAAATGATTGGCCAATCAGATGTGTTGGTTGGTTTGTTGTTTAACGCCGCACTCAGCAATATTGCAGCCATATGACGGCGGTCTGTAAATAATCGAGACTGGACCAGACAATCCAGTGATTAATGTCATGAACATCGATCCACGCAATTGGTTCGATGACAACACATTTTAGTAGCAACAACACATTTTTGAACTCAACACTTTCGAAACCTCGGCGTGATATCGACTTGCATCCTCTTGATTTGTACTCCATCACGCTACCAACTTGGCCTTGGCCTGTTGTTTAACGCCGCACTCAGCAATATTCCAGCTATATGACGGCGGTCTGTAAATAATCGAGTCTGGACCAGACAATCCAGTGATTAATGTCATGAGCATCGATCCACGCAATTGGGATCGATGACATGCATCAACCAAGTCAGCGAGTCTGACCACCCGATCCCGTTAGTCGCCTCTTACGACAAGCATGGGTTGCTGAAGACCTTTTCTACCCCGGAACTACCCCGGAACGTCGCGGGAATGTACCAAGGTATAAAGTTGCAGACAAAGAGGTGCAGGGGCAATACCTCTAGTTCTAGTTCTACGTCCAGTGTTTCAAAGAAGACTATATGACTCTTGCACGAGTCCTTAATTGCAAGTTCAAGTCTATGTGCAACACAAGGTATGTCTGCTTTAGAAATTACCCATAATGCAGCGGAAACTTCGTTCTTGACATGCACAGTAGAAAACAAAATCGCCGCGCCAATGTTAAATCATATTACGATCCCCTTTACGATCAATTAAGCCTAGATTTACGGTCATTTTGCTTGAATGTTGCGGAGTGCTGCATCAATTAACAACAGAAACAGAACCTTTGGATTGATAAAGATATTTTTATTATATACATAGGAATGAAATACTGGAATTTATCAGTGACTAGTGACTGATATAAAAAAAGTTATATCCGTCACTAGTGACTGATATAAACAAGGAACTACTTTCTCCTGAATCAAAACATTAAAGAGTTATTCCCCTTTGTTTACGTCTGTCCCACACACCGAGCCGGACCCATCTGCACGGTCAGTCGACCTGCCTCAGATGCCGACTGTAGTCAATCTCAACCGCAGGTGCATAACTTCTCTTCAACTGACCCCAGGAACTTTTTGACGAGTCTGATGTCTGGAAATAACATCTATCGAGTCTGGACCAGACAATCAGGGGTTTAATATCATGAGCATCAATCCACGCAATTGGGATCGATGACATGCATCAACAAAGTCAGCGAGCCTGACCACCCTATCCCGTTAGTCACCTTTTACGACAAGCATAGTCGCCTTTTACGGCAAGTATGGGTTTCTGAAGACCTATTCTACCCCGGCGTCTTCACGGGCCCCATAATTATGAATCCAAGAGTGTTGCACACATTCACGACCTTGCATTGCGCAGCAGTGACAGTTGTTAATAATGATTGCCTATATATTTAAGGCTTCCTTAACATATCTTGAACGCTTTTCGAATCGTGTATTTCAAATGCAGTTTAAAAGCATTGAATATTTAACAACATTTGAACCATTTTTTAAGATAGGCAAACACATAATAAAAAGAGAGAGATATTGCTTTGTCCAGCAAATGTACCACCAAATCCCCGTCTCAAAGATTAATCATAATCCACGATAATATCATGGCAGGGCTTTGTGGATATTCACTGAGAGTATTTGAGACAAGTGGAATTAATATCAGGTGGATTATAAAACACTCGAAGGATTTGTTCGAAAAGCTTTGTACACAACCATACCACATGACAAAGTTAAGGAAAAACATCATTCCTTGATGCGTTGGGCTTTTGTTATAAAACCTGGAGGCCATTGATAAAGCTACATGATCTATCTGACCGCCTCCGTGGTCTGGTGGTAGAGCATCCGCCCGGAGGAGGTCGGTTTTTTTTATCCCCGGTCGCGTCATACCAAAAGACTTTAAAAGATGGTACTTGTTGTCACTCTGCCTGGCGCTCGGCAATAGTCTATATACTTCCTGCCCAAATACTGTCGTAGTTGTACGTAAATTTGAGTCAGTCATGGCTTCCTTGTCTCTCAGAAGTAAGGAGATTTGCAAGAAGTGATTTCTTATCTTCCAAAAGTTTTGAAGCTTCTTTTATCTCATTAACCTTAATGCGGAGTTGTTGAGCAACAGCCGATGGTCTTCTTTCTATTAATTCCACAACATTAGAAATCAACTTGTAGACGTCCAATGGTACCAGTAGCGCAGATAAGAATACTCCTAAAGCCTTTGATACTTTTAGTCCGGCTGCAACGATATCATCCATTACGTTGAAAATAGACCACAACACGGCACGGCTTGCTGCATCGAACAGCGTTGTTATGATACGCACCTCGTTATTGCTCATTTCCTTCTTTATTCGTTTGCAAACATTCTCGAATTCCGTCAAATGCTTTTTGGCTTCTTTGATGTTTGCCTTCGTTTTTTCTTGCACAACTATTGATGCTGCTACATCACCTACACCCCCGCTGATACCAACAACAGCACCCGCAAGTGCAACTGGCACCCCTAATGGGCCAAGTATGATGAAGCCAGATATTGACATCGCTGCCCCAATGAGTCCCGTACTAGCACAAATTACTTTGGTTAGTCGCTTGTTCTGTTCAAGTTCATCAATATCTTTTGCAATATCCGACAGTCTTTCGCATACTTTGTTGGCAATTTTGTGATATTCTCTGAATGCTTTCATCAGCTTTTCCGTTTCATCTCTGCAACATTAAGAATATTTACTGATCAAATACTAAATTTGTTAACATTACATTTGATGTATTGCTTCCTTTTGAAATAAAATATCATTGTTTTTTATTCAGACCAGTGGGTAAAGTTTGACCAAAGAGAAGGTGTTCATATGAGTAACATGAGCATGTTCGAAAGGGGCTATTTCCGGAGCACATGGAACATTCATCTATACATGCATTTAAGAAAAAAACATTTCACAGACTTCATAATTTTCTTTGAAACTGTAACATTTTCTGATTTCTATTGGAAATAAATCTTTCTGTCTTGAATATATCGCATAATATTTTAATAAATTCCTAGTGATAACATTTCTTTTAATACTTGATAGATACATATATTTTATACTAGCAAGTATAATGTGATTGATTAGGTCGGTGTTATTAAATTATTTCGTCAATATAATATCATCTGAACATTTACCTTCAATGTAATCTTTTAGTTTCATCCACAATGTTTTGACACAATCTCATTCCCAATAAACATGAATCAAGTTTTCTTACATATAATTATAATCATGCACTAATTCCATTGTTAACAATTCTATATTTTGTATAAATAATATTATGGATGAATTTAAATTGGAAATCAATCAATTTAATATCTCCAGTATATACTGTTTTAAATATCTTCCCATGGAATTGCAATAACAAAGATATTTTGCCACTTTTCACATACTGGAGTTTTTTTTCTAAATCACGAATAACGCCGCTTTTAGCAATATCACGGCGGGGGACGCCAGAAACTGGCTTCACATATTGTACCCATGTCGGAATGCGAACCAGGGGCTTAGGTGTGACGAACGAACGCCATCAACAAGGCTACCCGACCGACCCTCACGCATATGTTTATCACAAAAAAAACTGACCCGTGAAGATTCTGGGGTAGAATACATTGTAGGTCTTCAGCATCCCATACTTGCCGTAAAAGGCGACTATGCTTATCGTAAAAGGCGACTAACGGGATCGGGTGGTCAGGCTCGCTGACTTGGTTGATACATCGATCCCAATTGCGTGAATCGATGCTCATGATGTCAATCACTGGATTGTCTGGTCCAGACTCGATTATTTTACAGACCGCCATATAGCTGAAATATTGCTGAGTGCGGCGTTTAACAACAAACAAACGAATATCTGTGATTGGGGTTATGACCACAAGATCACCTTACATTTGCAGTCTAAATAAAATATAGACATCAGTTTTTGCAAAAAGAAAATAAGCTTTAGACTATCATCTTAAATAATCCTGACTAGTATGCCATGGAAAATATAACTCAAGAATCCTAAATCAGGCAAGGAAAAAAGTAATACAATATATATTGTAACGCAAATTTAGCAAAACTGTCACTAGACAGCGTGACTATTGTGACACGAAAGTGGCGCGATATGTTTCGAAGGTGGCGCGATAGTGGCGCTATTGTTTCGCGTTGATGTCTCAAACATGGCGTGATAATTCCGCGTTAGTGCCGCAATAGTGGCGAGAAAGTTTCGCGACAGTTTCGTATATATAGGCGAAGTTACTAATGTAATGTTGTGTTCTTAGGTGTCTGTGTAGATAGTTTGACTCCACATATTCCTTCCGAAGTGAATACTATATAAGATTTTGACCTAAATTTGACTCACCGTTCATGCTCATCCTTGTCTCCTTGTAATGTACATACTCGTATGGCGCGGATAAGATGCTGACGTATGCTGTCTCTCATTCCAAACATGTCAGGAATGCATATTGAATATGCATAAGTTTCAAGGTCTTTTATCATCGCTGTGAAGGTCTTCCTTGATTCGATGTCTGAGATTGATACTACTTCCGTAAGAAAGACGAAATTGTCACTTGTGTAATGTCTTAGAGCAGCTGCAAGGTCTCGGCCAAGTAGGCAGGTGTGAGTGAGGATGTCCGTATTATGGCTATCACAATGACAGACTGCTAACACAAGTCCGAACCTATTGGGAATTAAAATGACGGCTTCGTGGATAATTCCACGCGGAGGGAGTATGCCAGGAGAAAGCTTCAGTGCAGATCGTATAGACTCTTCTATGTGTGTGAAACACGGTACGTTTGACTCCTCATCGTGGAGTTCTGATACTCGTTCAATCAATGTCTTTACAACATGTGACTCTTTTCTGTTCAAATTCTTGTGACTTTTAGTAGAATCCCCTAAAATAACGACAGGAGAAAAACTCATCAATCACACGAAATAGACTCATAAGACACAAAAAGTATGTTTTACGCCAGATTCAGAACAGACCAGTCATATTCCAGCTATGCAAAATTTAACTATCGCTTCAACCATATCTCACCCACACATCGACAGAGTGGCCTGAAAATAATCGAATCTGTAACCGACTTAATTGTGATTGATATTATGAGCAACGACGTACTCATGTTGGCGTTATCATCCAATTCAACAAGCGTGCACAATATTATGTGATAAAGGGGGCGATAATATTGAAACGAATACATGTATGCTGTTTTCAAGAGATTCGTTTGCAAGGCTGAAAAGAGGTGTGTGTGTATATACATATATATGTGTGTGTGAAAGATCTTGGCGAACTTGCTGCAGGTTATGTTGCCTTTGTTGACGTTGACATATACATGTACGTATATCTAACTCATCCCATAGATGCCCAATTGGCTTGAGATCATGTGATCATGACGGCTACGGTAGAATGTTTATGCTCTTAGCTCTCATGAAATCAATACAGACTTGTGTTGTGTCGAGACAAGTGTTGGCATGGTGAAGATGTTACGTTACATCTTGTCACATCTGCTAACTTGCCCTGGATATGAATACTTCAGATGGCATTTGCCATGGCACCAGGTTTTGTAACAAACGCCGCATGGATCAGGGAATGAAGTTTTTCCTTACGTTTGCCGTCTGGGTAGTGGTTTACAAAGTTGAAAAATCAAATGTTTTAACTATGTAGTATAATATTATGCAATATTATACAGATACTATAACAATAAAACAGCATTTTCAGATAAACCCATGCCCAGTGAAGTATAACTTTGAACAGAAAAGCTTGTGCCTGCTCCCACGTGTACGGGATCGGGTGGTCAGACTCGTTGACGTGGTTGATGCATGTCATCGATCCCAATTGCGCGGGACCCGTGAGGATTCCGGGGTAGAATATGTCTTCAGCAACCCATACTTGCCGTAAAAATTTTGATTTGCCTAAAATGACCGACGATGATATCATAGAAAAGGGGATTTCCAACAGAATTCAAAACTCTTAGTGTGCGTGATGTATTTCGAATTTTGTCGACTTCGAAGTGATGGTTTAAAGAGGAGAGACATATATCGTCGAATCATATGTTTTCGGACATCAAACGTTTTCAGACGGCCATGTTTATCGCGAATTACTCCCGCTATAACGAGGTTTGTGGCGTCAACAGATATTGTAAATACTCAGATGATGGCTTGATGTTTAGATAAAGCCGTCTCTGATAAGTGAATGAGATGTTTTATGGTTCTTGTGATCAGCGAATGTAACATAACAAGGGAATATATCTATTTACACTATAAAACCATTACGTTCAACACAGACGTTGGTGGACATTTGACTGAAGCACGAGCAACTTATTAATGACTTACGATCATTCGTCACCACTCGCCCCTTTCCGTAACCTGCAAGAAGACTCGCGTCCCCATATGCATCGATGAATGTTGTGTGCGAAAATACGACAAACCAATCAGAATGGGCGTATGATTTCAAGTTCTTAGACAAAGAATTCCTCAGAAATAGTTTTTGATTTTACATACATCTTGAATCTAAAAATATACCCCAAACACAGTTAGTTTGATTTGGTTTCTTGTTTAACGCCGCACTCAGCAATATTCTAGCCACATGACGGCGGTCTGTAAATAATCGAATCTGGACCAGACAATCCAGTGATTGATATCATGAGCATCGATCCGAGCAATATTGGGATCGATGACATGCATCAACCAAGTCACCGAGTCTGACCACCCGATCCCGTTAGTCACCTTTTACGACAAGCATAGTCACCTTTTACGGCAAGCATGGGTTGCTGAAGACCTATTCTACCCCGGAATCTTAACGGGTCCAAAAACACAGTTAACGTGTCCAATCATACTGTATAGTTCCGTATGCCCAGATGTGCTTTAAATTGCATCTGAAATATATATAATATATGGGGAAATGTATGTGAACCATTACGCAACGAGTTGACAATTGTTTTAGGTATGCCTGTTTGCGCTTCGACGGAACCCGGTCGCAAAAAATGGCCATGAGAAGGGCACGAGTCAGCTTGTGCCAGAATAACACGAATGGACTTACGATCTGGAAAGTAGTCTGTCATAATCTGACCTCAAGTCATCACCATGGGGTCGCCATTCACTGGCCTGGAATTTGATCTCACACATATGTTTGATACCAGTTATCTCAAAAGGGTTTCTCACCAACAGGTGTGTAAGAACTTGTATTTGTCAACAGTCATGACATATTTACCACACGATAGTAATAACTGTCAAAATTACCTATTTCATAACCTAAGAATTCAAACTTTCGCTCTGAAGGTTTAGATATACTTACAAGTGCGGTGTTTTGCCGAACCATCTGAAATAATATCAAAAGCAAACCTTTCATTAAAACATTGTCATGTGAGTATTACTTAATAGAACGTCAGATATATTAGTTAATAAGTCAGTCAATATTACTGACTTTACATGTTTGCATTTACTCAAACTGTTACGTCTTGTGATAATGCAAGTGAGTCAGAGGTGCTTAACTCAATGTCAGCAATGTTTCCGCTGCAATAAGGCTGCCTTGGATTAATTATATACCCAATGACTAATTCCAGGCACAACAACACACACTCAGCAAAGCAACCGGGCCTCACCACCCGATCCAATTGCAGTCAATATATAGATAAGCACTGTTTTATTTAATGTGTCAATGTGCTTTTAGTAGTTTTATGAACACAGTACCATTAATTATTATGGGGAGTATGGACATCAAATTTGGAAATAATCATTATAAGAAAAATGAATGAACGATATTACCTTTTAGGTGTTTCCTGGTGATTGCATCAAACCACTCCCTTTGCATAACTTGTCTGAGTTTTCCATTTTGTACTTGGTACGACACAGGTCCAGAGTTGACATAAAACAATAAACCACTCATTTGAGCAATGGAACATTCCAAGACAGTTTTACGAAGCTCATTGTGGTGAACATGGGTGATGAAGTTGGAGCATTGCGGGCTACCAAACTCCCCATGAAAGTCGCAAAAGAGTGTCCTGCTGCTAAAGAATTTCTTTAATAGACGCATGACCCGTTCGTCCACAAAACCCTCAGGAATGCCTTCAAATTCAATTTTCTTAGTCTTGTATCGTTGAAATATCATCTCCTTTTCTCCTACTCCGAGAAAATATGACCCTCCTTCAGGAAGTTTTGCAAAGGCTGTCAAGTATTCACGAAGCCCAAGTTCCTCCCAAATGTACAGTGCGACCTTCTCTGGATTATTCTTCAGGTCTTCCTCCAAAAAAGATGGTGGTTTGAACCGTTTGAATTGTACTTCTTGAGTTTCTTTGAAGAAGCGTGTTCCACGTATCTTTGGAGTCATTTTCCTAGCTTGGGGTTTTGACATCAAGATGTCTGACACAACCTCAGTGGGGGCCTCTAGGATCCTATCATCTAAGGCTACACATGTGTTTAGTGCTTGTGTTACAAATTGCAAGCTACCATTTACACAAAAGAGAACATATTCTCTGTATATATATTCCAATTCTCCAAGTGAAACAATCTTAAATGCATTGGAATATAACTTGCCTCTTTGTAGCAATGAATGTAACTTTTCAGAAACCATTTCATCCAAAAAGCCATGGTAGAAATCATCATCTGATAAGCCAGCAAGGTGAATTAGTATTGAACCTCCATGTGAATTCATCAAGGCTGTTACGTACTTCGCAAGAGTCTCACACATGTTAAGACGTTTGGCTTTTCTGACATTTCTGCCTGACCTTTCTGTTGGGGGATTAATGAAACTTACATCCCAGTGTAATTTGAACATGCATGTTTGAGGAAGGCATCTTCCAGCTATGACAGGTTCCCCCGCATGAATTCTTCGTCGAAGCCGTTCACATTGGTCACATTGTTCGTTACCTGTGATGGGGAAACGTAATAATGACATAATGTTTAATTATGTGGTCGTGAAAGGTTAAGTATTTTGGATACGTTCAGCGTTAAACCACATCCTTTTTTCTGTATTCACTACATAGTACTATTCATAGTTCATAATGGCATAAAAGGCACTAAGACCACAATAAATTCCTCTTGTCTAACTTAAACAACAGTAAACAAATTTCTGGCTGTACTATCTGGAATAGCTATGGGTTTCTTCAGGAGTAAAATATTTTTCATGGGTCATTGCAGCAATGTTCCAACTATGCAACTGATCACGTCTGGGTCAGACATGTAAAGAGTCAGAAAGAATTTTCATGACATGCAATGGAATAATATACACTTGCCCCCGGAACAAATTTAGTCACCTGTTAACGTAGGCAATAGTGTGCTGAGGTTTAAGTCGAAACTTGGGTACCAAAGGTGTTGAATGCGAAATGAAAACATATACCTTATACACATTATCATACCTATTGAACGGACCGCCTCTGTGGTCTTGTGGTTTAGACCGCCCGCCCGGAGATAGGAAAGGTTGGGGTTCGATCCCCGACCGCGTCATACCAAATAAAGTTAAAAGATCCCCGACCGCTTCATACCAAATAAAGTTAAAAGATAGTGCCTGTTGTTACCCTGTCTGGCGTTCGGCATCAAGGGGCTAGGACAAAGACTGGTCGGCTCGAAGTCAGTACACTTTGTCTGAGTGGGGTATGCATGTTGAACTGCGGCATGGTTTCTCCGTGAGCTGGCACTATAAATCGGCACCAGTCTGGACTAGTGCATGCAGACACACACACACACACACGAATGAACGTCGCTATACCAGTACAATAATCTTGGACGCGACGTTAAAACCTAATTTAACCTCTGTTTCAGTGAGTGAGTATGGTTTTACGCCGGTTTTAGCAATATTCAAGCAATATCACGGCGGTGGGCACCAGAAATTGGCTTAAGGCATGTCGGGAATCGAACCCGGGTCTTCGGCGTGACGAGCGCACGCTTTAACCTCGAGGACGTGAAGATCCCTGGTAGAATAGCTCTTCAGCTAACCCATGCTGCTCGTAAGTAGTGACTATGCTTGTCGTAAGAGGCGGCTAACGTGATAGGGTGGTCAGGCTCGCTGACTTGGTTGATACATGTCAATCAAGCGATCTCATCGATAATCGAGATCTATATTGTAATAAAAGAACATCAAATCACGTGAGCACCTTGATTAAAAACGTGAAATGATGTAAACAATATCTGTTGACAACGAGTTGGCGGTGCACATGTTTTGCAAATCCTGCAATTGACAGTTAACAAACCGGATTTCGATTTCCTTGCTCGATTTTCATTGGACTATGCAAGGACTCGTTAGTCCAGCCAAATTACCAGCCAAGTTCGGCAAGGTTGGAATTTGGACTTTTATTGTCTCGGGAAAATACCTTTTTCATATAGCCCGAATATTGCTGAGTGTGGTGTTAAACAACAAACAAACAAATTCACTTTCACCTTTTGAACATGTGTACATTTTGTGTACGTGATTGTCCATTATCTACGAGCAATATACTACTTTACCTTGGAAATGTAATCCTCCTCTTGTTTTTGACGCTACAGCCATCTGAGAACACAAATGCTTATTAAATTTCAGTTTTATATATCTAACGGACTGCCTATTTCCTACTTCGGGGAATGGAGCCGGAACTTATGTTTCAGACAGAATACTTTTCAGCGCTTCAAGAGATACAATTGTTTATCCGCACATTATTTTTCCCATCATTCCAGTGAACAAGTTATTCATTTGACAAATGATTTTCTTTCAAACCTATTCGGGAACAAATTTCTGATTTCAAACAATTCTCAGGTACTCCCAGAACACTAAATATTTAGAGTATATACTACAATTCCATAGTAGATGTCAGTTCGTACAGACCTGTATTGTGAAATCAGTGAATGATCACACAAGATCAATGAATTATTTAAAAATTGTTCTTAAAGCCACAGTTTGCGGTTTACAATAAAATTTCGGTTGGCTATACAAGGAACAAAAAGGCAGTAAGAATAAGGAACCAGCCCAAAAATAAATGTCAGTGTATTTGTTAATGTCTAGAATTAGGTCATTGTCGAATATATGGAATGCTCCAGGGTTCTTGAGACCTGAAATAGTGAAAGTAGATAAGATTCAGGTCACCTTCGTCTCACCCTTATACAGATAGATATAGCCAGCCTCCCAGAAACTGTTACCTCATGAAAGTTCTCAAACGATCAAGATTGTGATTCGTTCTTTGAGTGCCAAGGTACCATTCGTCATGGTGTCTGTTTTAAACGCAGATGCATTTTCATGCGTGTTTTGTTGTTGGAGAATGAACAAACACGACCTTAATTTTTTTAACTGACTGCTTGTTGGTAACGTGGTGTCACTTCAGCCACTTCATCTTTTTCTCTTCATATGTTTACGACACATACATGTACAAACGGAATAAGAAAGGTTGTTAGTTTAGTGTCACCGTCAGTGACAACAGTAGACGTGGCAAGACTATCAGCAAAAAGTTGATCTCTGTTTAGCTTAGTTGAATAAACACACTGCACAGCAATAGCATGTTAATTAAATGTCCTCCATCATTGCTTATCAGTGGATAATTTCCCAATCGTATGATTGGGCCCGAAACACTCTATGTCCAATATCAGCTCACCAAACAGACGACATTTACATTTAGACTTTTACTATGATGTACATGTATCTCATATTTTTTTCCGTCTCTTTACGGTAATGGGTTCATTTCATTTACTTCAACAATCACTTTTCCATTACAAATGTAAGAACATGTTTGCAAATCATATAATATTAACATTATTTTACTCCATCTTTCAATCATGAGTTATATATATGATTTAGTCACGTATGCAATGATACTTGCAAAGGTACAAACTATCCGTCAGCGATAAACTTTAACATGTGTCTCAGCATCCAGTCTGAGACCTTAGTGCTGAAGCTTTGGGCCTATATCTCAACATTTGTTTAATTATCATAATATCAAGGTATGCGAATGTATGTAATTTGTAAACGTCCGACATAGGACTTTTCCAGTAAATCCATGGTTCAAAGCCCAAGAATATCTATTTACGGTATGAAGAAATTCAATGAAGCAGTGGTAAAATCTATCCATATATACAAAATTGTATATATTTGGATATACCAACTATACAAAATTGTATATTTTGGAAATACCAAATATACAAAATTGTATTTTTTGTATATATTGGAATTTTCCCTTGTAGGTTCGTGCCGTTTTTCGTGATTTTATGAAGTTCAAATCGTCTCATCATTGCCTCCCGGCTCTCTCATAGTATCTACCAGAAATGGTGGACACCCAAGAGATAATTATGTTTATCTGTTTACAAAAGCGGCAAAACCGTTCCCATATTCACAAGATATCCCTGTAAAAAGCAGAGTCGACTGCACGTTTCAGACCACAATCAAACAGAGATTACACCAGGTGGTCATGCAAGGGCACGCAAACTTTTCATCCAAAAAACCCACTGGAACACATGGTACAAGTGTCCAGGGGAGGTAACTCCTTACATCCGGAAGCCTGCTGAGTTCGCTCAAACTGCCCCCAAACAAATCCTTAAACACATCGCCGAGTCTTGTCAGTGGATTATATCAGTAGTTGCGTGTTGCGAATCTGACGAAATAACAATTAATAACGGATACAGGAACACCATGTGAACTGGAAGATCTTTCAACCTTTGGGATGCCACTGTTTGACATGGGCCTAGCGGAATCCGAAAGTGGTTTGACAGGGTCACTGCCTGTACTGGTATTGGAAAAATGTTGGAGATACAACAATGATAATCTTCAGTGATTCGTGAATACGTGTTTATAGAATGTATATTTTTGTGCCTAGACAATCCCATAGTTTGGTTGGCTTTAACGCCCTTACTGGACAGTGATTGTATCATGTGTTTCCAAGCGTTGTGATTACTAATGCGTGTGTCGGATGAAAGGTTGGCTTTGGAAGCCATGTTTTTCATTAGTTTGTTTTTGCCAACTGGCTGACTTTTGACCCAGTATTTGCCAGATTTGGGACACCCTCTTGTGTTTGTTGCGAGCTAGAATAGATCTTCCCTCCCCGAAAGATTGCTGGGTCTTAAGTCCCGGGACACCTAATACAAGTTGACTGGACAACATGAGGGGTCGTTGTGTTGGGCCCAGGCCCCGGGTGTCACAGCCCGAACACCCGTGGGTTCGTCTCCGGCTCTGGTATTGGATTGCCGTTCAACATACTCGATGTACTCATGATAATCAGAATCTCGTTTGAACTGCCCCCCCCCCCCCCCCCCCCCCCCCCCCCCCAGTCATTCTTCTGTCTGGAGTATTCGACTGTAGACCGAACAAAAATTGTATTGTTCCACCACAGAGTATTCATTATTGATTTAGGTGTGTTAGTGCCAAGCTGGATGTTTTATTTCACTGTTGGAAATAGCTTCAAATTTGTAAGATATGTTACCCTTTCCTGATTTTTCAGTGACCATGTTTTTGACTCGAAGACAACCCTCATTTTGGAAAAATTAATTGAATCGAAAAGTGATCTTTTCGTTTTAAAAGACGAACTAAACTGGCCCTTAAACCAATGAATGAGCTTGGCTCGTTCTCGAAACCATCCTGTTTCCTAACGCTAATGAAAAACTTGCACATGATCGTATTAAACTCAGTGGGAGGGATAACTTCAATTGGGCGTTACCTCATTCAGTTTTTTGAGTGTTTGCTTTTCATTTTCTGCCAGAAATTTGTACATCAACAAATCCTTCTGCTTGTTTTGGAACATGAGAGGTGTAATTCGGGCCATCCAAGACATCATTATCCATCAAATTATCCCAAAATGATTGATTTCGACCAAAATATTAGGGCGTAGCACACATTGAAGTCATGGTTTCAGGAATAACGCATAGACTAGAACGAGGGACTTGTCGCTCACCCATGTATGTTGGCCGAGAGGGGACATCGCTTTCTCGCTTTATCGCTCTATCGCTTTCTCGCTTTATTGCTTTCTCGCTTTATCGCTCTATCACTTTCTCGTGGTTAAGCAATATCCCCTCTTGACCACTATAGGGGCCGCGTGTGATATCTGCTGCAATTGGGAGGTAATGTTGAACTTTTCTCACTATTAAACATAACTGAACTGTAGAGAGGTAGGTGATTTTAAAACAATCCACCAATTTTTGCGTAAAATGTATGTGACTATCACGCCGAAAGCGCTTGGCAGATCATGGCAATATGCTCTAAATAAATCAGGTTAAAATCTAAATATATACTTTTCAAAAGAAGTTAAGAAGACTATGGTTAATTAGCCATGGCTGATTGTTTTGCAAAAATACAATCTTAAAATTGTGGGTGTTCTATAACTACTTTTCGGTAGTATATGATGTTACAGTGTGTCATAATGTTGTCTGTAAATGTTCTTTTTGACATTTGATGTATGTTTAACTTGAATAGTGTTTCTTGTCTTGTGCAAATATATGTACTTGCATATAGTAATTTGATAAACACTGCTGTGAGTGAGTGAGTGAGAATAGTTTCACGTCGCTTTTAACAATAATCCAGTAATATCATGGGGAACACCATAAATGGGCTTCACACATTGTGTCCATGTTGGGAATCGAACTGGGTCTTCGGCTTGACGATCAAACGCTTTAACCACTAGGCTACCCCACTGCCCCCATCGCTGTGGCGTTTCCAAAGTTGATATGTGTACTTGTGTAAACTACACATGGGGAGACATGATTAGTGTGGCCACATAGTTAAGGTTGATAACAATAAGAAATGCATTACTATGATAATCTATAACATATATTAAATCAGCTATCATTATAATATGTTATGTATATCTTAAGTATAGTTTTGTCAAAATTATGTATGTGTGTGTGTGTGTGTGTGTGTGTGTGTGTGTGTGTGTGTGTGTGTGTGTGTGTGTGTGTGTGTGTGTCCGACTCATTGTCTCTGTAAAAAGGTAGTAGATAACTATACATAACTCACATCAGAACGCACAATTGTTAACCATACAGTTTAAATGGATAGAGAATTGCTACATAAATATGTATATTCCTGCCTGAGCCTATACTATAATTGGATATCTAGTCTCTCCTGGCGGGAAAGTTAAACTTTATTTCACAAGCACTTTAGCATTAAATTTAATTCCCGAAGACAGTTTAATCGAAAGTCATTATAAGAAACGAGTTGTTTTTAAAAAATATTTACAACGCATTTCATTTCGGTTGTACAAGGAATGGGGTTACGGGTTAATGACGCTCTCGAAAGTCATATATGTGACTTAAGGTAGAGACATATATCTAATTTATCTTTATTTTGTAAGGGAAACATTACTGTGTACATGTATAATTTTTGTTTGCATAATGTACATGCAACTTAATGAACATAATTTAGCTCCCGAAATCGGACGAGCACATATTCGGCTTCAATTCCAAATCTAATGACCGAAAAAAATAATTCTTTGGACGTTGCAAACAATACAAACTGGCTAATAAAACTGACAATTATTTGTCAATATATGATCTCCTCTTTATCAGTTTTAAGATTGATGGAGGAATGGGGGGGGGGGG